GGGGGGGGAGGGGGGGGGGGAGGGGGGAAGAAAAAGGGGGGGAGGGAAGGGGGGGGGGAAGGAGGAGGAAGAGGAGGTCCTGCACTGATGGGGTGGGGTGGGGCTCAGCATGGGGCTCAGGGAGCCTCAGGGATTGGAGGAACATGTCCAATGACAGGTGTGGAATTACAGCCAGCAGAACTCTTAATGGGTGCCTGTGGAGTGCACCCCTTTCTGTCTTATTGGTGTTGATCACTCTTTCCATGGGTGGATTGAGTGGGAAGAGGCTTCAATCTGGAATCCCTTCCAGTTGTACAGACCAAGTTGATGACTGTCAAGAAAAGTTCTTTCTTTGCTGACATCAGTGTTCAGTACTAAAATTGTTCTGGTTCGGCCAGTTGGTGATCTAGAGTGGGGAACTGGCAGGGAAAACACCTCTCTCTCCATTTTGCTAGGCCTGTAAGCATCTTTAGATACCCTTGATGATGGTTACCTCCTGGATTGCTTAAAGGAGATGCACATAAGGTATATTTTATTGCTGATTCATGCTAATCTGCTAGGGTACGTATTTTGTGGGTGTTCCTCAACCCAACTTTTTAACTTGATGCACAGGCCACTGCTGTGGCACAGGTGACGTTCTTTCAAATTTGGCTGCAGCACCACCTGAGGCCATTTCTGGAGCATGCTGACCCGACCTCTTGATTTGATAATAGTGCCACTATCTACATAAGGTTCCCCATGAAGTCCCTTCAGAAGCTCAGGTTAGTCCAAAATATGACACACAGTGTAGATTACTGCAGGATTTTCACATCTAGCATCAGTGTTCCTTCTTTCTGTCCTGCTTTTCAGTTTTTTTCTGGTGGGAATTCTAGGCTCAGGCCATGACCTTGAAAGTGCTCAGTGGCTTGGGATCAATTATTTCAAAGGCCACCTGTCAAGCTGAAAGGACACACAGAGCTGTCTCCTTTGTTCTGTCCTCCTCTGAACCCAGCCTTGTATCCAGAAAGAAGGGGTTGATTTTGTAGTGGTTCTCATATGATTCATTAATGTTTTAAATATACAGTATATGTTTTATTTATTAATCATATGTTTTATGTTGATTCTGTTTCATTCCTGTCTTTTAAGTTAATCATATTGCCTGATTATTAAGTAGAGAAGTAGAAAATAATTTCAAGTGAGCAAAGAAATAAATAGTAAAACATAGTTCAAATTCTACTCTTGCAGGTGAAGACCAAGAAAGTCAGGTCAAGATGGAGAATTCTCCAGGTAGAGAAGATGACCTGGATTATATACGTAGGACAATCCAGCCAATAAGCAACGTGAAGATATCAGAGATCAAGGAGGAAACAGATGAATCCAAAGAGCAATGGGGGGATGGGCTGCTTGGGATAAAGGCTGAAAATATTGAATTTGCAGAAAATCTTACAGCTGTGACCATTGAGCCATTTCAAGCAGATTCAGAGGGGGAAATGCCCTTGTTCTCCAAGTATGATAGAAGGTATAATTACAGATTAGAGCTTGATGTGACAGATTTTAGCAAGGATTGTACTCAGTCTTTCATACCAGAAGAGAACCTACACCAAAATGTGTATATCAATGAAAAGGAGAAAATCATAATAGGGGAGAGAAAGAATGTGTTCTCTGTGAAGAGAAAAGGAGATAATTTGAACCAATATTTGAATTACCATCCTAACCCTAACCCAGAAGAGAAACCATATAGGAAGGGTATTAGTTATTCCAGTGAAGACATTCGAAATGAAAGACCATACCAGTGTTTCCACTGTGGGAATTGCTTTACTCAGTTAGAGTGTTTAAAGAGGCATCAAAGAAGTCATAGAGCAGACAAACCATGTAAGTGCTCTGAGTGCAAGAAAAGTTTTCATTCAAGTCAGTCTTTGAAGATCCACCAGATAATTCATTCTGGAGAGAAACCACATAAATGCCTGCAGTGTGGGAAATGCTTCAGTCGCAGAGGAATCTTGAAGATCCATCATAGAATTCATACTGGTGAGAAACCATACAAATGTCCTCTTTGTGGAAAATGTTACAGTGATAAAGGAAGCTTGATAAACCATCAGAGAATTCATACTGGAGAAAAACCATACAAATGTTCTCAGTGTGGAAAATGCTTTAGGCAGAAATCAGTTTTAAATACTCATCGCAAGTTTCATACTGGAGAAAAACCACACAAATGTCCTCAGTGTGGAAAATGCTTTAGCCTCCCAGCAGGTTTGAGGCGACATCAGACTATTCATACTGGAGAGAAACCATACAAATGTTCTCTTTGTGGAAAATGCTACAGTGAGAAAAGGAATTTCATTAACCATCAAAGGGTTCACACTGGAGAGAAACCATATGAATGTCCACAGTGTGGAAAATGCTTCAGTCAAAAGCGTATTCTGAACAAACACCAGATAATTCACCTTGATGGGGAACCATACAAATGTTTGCAGTGTGGCAAAAGCTTCAATGAGAGAGGTGCCCTTAATAAACATCAAATCATCCATACTGGAGAGAAACCATTTGAATGTCCTCAGTGTGGGATATGCTTCAGTCGGAAAGAAACTTTGAAGATCCACCAGAGAATTCATACTGGAGAGAAACCGTATGGATGTTCTCAGTGTGGGAAATGCTTTAGGATGAAGACAACTTTAAATGCCCATCAAAAATCTCATACCGGAGAGAAACCACATAAATGTCCACAGTGTGGGAAATGCTTTACTCTCCCAGGAGGTTTGAGAAGACATCTGAAAATCCATTCTGGTGAGAAACCATACAAATGTTCTCTTTGTGGGAAATGCTACAGTGATAAAAGAAATTTGATGAACCATCAAAGAATTCATACTGGAGAGAAACCATATGAATGTTCGCAGTGTGGGAAGCGCTTCAGTCAGAAGTACAATCTGAAGAGTCACCAAATAAATCATCTTGGTGGGGAACCATATAAATGTTCGCAATGTGGGAAATGCTTTAGTTTCCCAGGAGGTCTGAGAAGGCATCTGACTATTCATAGTGGAGAGAAACCATATAAATGTTCTCAATGTGGGAAGTGCTTCAGAGAGAAAGATAGTGTAAATAGACATCAGACAGTTCATACCGCAGAGAAACCCTATAAATGTTCTCTTTGTGGAAAATGTTATAGTCAGAAAAGAAGTCTGATGAATCATCAAAGAATTCATATTGGAGAAAAACCATACGAATGCTCTTAGTTAGAGAAACACTTTAGGGAGACTGCAGCTTTGGACACTGATCACTCATCCCCCTTTGCCCCTTATCCCTATTTGAAAATAAAAATGGTTAATTCTGAATCTTGGGTTTGATTGTATACTTTCTGCAAATACTAGCTAGATTTGGAAAACAAGCATTTCTCTGATGTTTGAGAGTGAACCGAGGATAATCTCTTGTCTTACTTGATAGAAAATGTGTATGAAAATAATACAGTGGGAGAAACTGAGAAAGTGGAAGAAGTACTGAAAGTTAAATAATAATGTTAACATCTTGCTTACCTACATTTACAATACAGGGACTATTACAAAGACGAAGCAACCTCAAGGTATTGCTGAGATGCAGATCCTAAAAGATGCGGCCATGCGGCCAGTTGTGAGAGATGCTGTACATTTGGTTTGGCCACGCGCAGCCCCTCACTTTCTGGCCCAACACGAACATCCATGCACAACCAAGAAACCTAGATTCGCATGGAGTCTTATAAGTCACACATCTTTAATGGAAAGGGAGTTTGTTTACAGTATAGTGGGTAGCGGATATATATACTTCAGCACCTCATTTATCATTAAGTATGTTAAAGCGAGGCCTCCACTCCACTTTCTAGCTACCAAGGAGATACTAGGACCCATTTGCTTGGTAAGGAAGGAATGTACACATGTTTTGGCCTTACGGTATTTTACAACCCCCATTCCCATACTCATGAAAACTTAAGCAGTGCCCTGCTGGATAGGATCCCTGGCCCATCCAGTCCAGCAGTCTGTTCTCCCAGTGGCCCACAAACCACCCAAGGAAGCCTATTGGTGTCCAAGCAGATGGCCTTAAGAACCAGCCACTCTGCCCTCAAGGCTAAAGGGCCATGGACCCGCAGGACTTCCATGAATTGGTCTAACCCAAGGTTTCTCAACCTTGGGAACTTGAAGATGGGTGGACTTCAACTCCCAGAATTCTCCAGCCAGCATGGCTGGCTGAGGAATTCTGGAACTTGAAGCCCACACATCTTCAAGTCTCTGAGGTTCAGAAACCCTGGTCTAACCCTTCTTTAAAGCCAGCCAATCTAGTAGCTAGCACCACATAGTTGCGTAAAAAAAAAAAAGAATTAAAACTCCTTTTTTCTGTTTTTCCTGATTCTTCCAGAACTCAATTTTATTTGAGTGACCTCTAATATTTTGGGAAGGGGAAAACAGTTTCTCCCCAGCATGGCTGGCCGGGGAATTCTGGGAGTTGAAGTCCACAAATTGCCAAGTTTGAGAAACACTGCTCTATACGACGTCCTGAAGCCAAGCTAAGAAGCCTGAACGAGAGTTTTCCATCCTCGGTGAACTTCCAGGATCAGCCTTCAAACAGAAGAGGAAAGAGAAGAGCGGTCAAGCAGGAGGCGGCCACTAGGGGCGGTCGCGCGCTGCTTGGCCCGAGGGAAAGAAGCGGAGGGGAAAGGGCGGAAGCAAAAGCTGGGGGGACCTTCCGGAAGCGCCTCTCATTTCCTGTTGTCCCCCCGGAGCGGTCGCCTTCCAGCAGGGAAGGAGTCGCCAGGCCGCCCCAGGATCCCCGGCCGTCCTCCCCTCCTCCCGCGGGCGGAGCTGAGCAGCCGAGAGAGGGAAAAGCAGCCGCCCGGGCTCCCGCCGGCTTCCTGGTCGCTTCCGGTACGGTTGGGGGGGCTCCCCTGACGTCCTGGGCCCCTGAAGGGAGCACCTCGGGCGGGGCGGAGCAGCAGAGAGAGGGAAAACCAGCCGCCGGGGCTCCCGCCGGCTTCCTGGTCGCTTCCGGTACGGTTGGGGGGGCTCCCCTGACGTCCTGGGTCCCTGGATGGAGCACCTCAGGCGGGGCGGAGGAGGACGTCCCGCGGAGAAGGGAGCGCTGCAGGCCCGCTGCCCAGCCAGAGCCCTGGGAAAGGGGCGAGGGCTCTCCGCAGGCAGCCCCGGAGGCCGCTCGGCCTTTCCTTGGTGCCTGAAGGGGCTTGGCGGCCGCGCTGGGCTGGGTCGGATTCGGATGAGGCCGGACCCTTCTGGGTGGAGCCGG